TAATAAACAAAGATTGATTGATCTTTCTCATATTTAAATGTTTTTCAAATCGTCATCAACGAAAATGTTTGAAATTCATGATGATAATACAAATGATTACTTTAATTCTCGACATAGAACACAATCAAGTTCACATCTTCGTTCACCTGATCTTGTTAGTGTTAAACCAATGTCACCACAACAAGATCGATCTTCACAATTATCAGCAACATCATCACTTACTACATCAAATATTTCAAAAACAAATTCATCTCCATTTCTTAGAATTTCTACACCAATTCAAAAAACAAATAGTTCACCACCTTCTGATGATCGTTTTGTTATGACAATCATTAGAAGTCCATCGACTAGTTCTCAACGTATACTATCAACAGAACCGATAGGACCAATAATAACAAATGAAGAATCATCAAATAATAATAAATTTTTTAAAAGTAAAGTTACAGCAGCATTGAATCATATGAAATATCGTAAGTTCGGATTTATATTGTTTTCTTTTAAACTTTTTTTATCTTACAGGTTGGGGAGTTAGAATACGACCAAATTTTCGTACAAATGAATCACCAATATATTTCCTTGGTAAAATATATAATGGAAAAGAAGGTAAATGATCGGAATGTAATAAGAACCATCTTTAGTGTTACTCTTCATTCATGACGTATTTGATGTAGAATTTCACATAGAAGATATTCGCAAATTGTTCCACAGCAAGACATTTTGAACCAAAAAATGATATCAATCGACTATTCATCCTACAGGCCATTTTTCGATAAAGAAAAAAAAACAACTTGCGATTTTGACAGCTTTAAAGAACGGCTACAAAAGTATAAAATTTTTAATTTATTTAGAAATGAACTTTGTTACTAGATTTTCTTTTATTGGTATTCAAAAACGTGAATTTAATTAGAAAAAAATCATTCAAACATATTTTCTGAACCTATGAAACATTATTTTGATTAAATTCATCGTTTCAACTGCTTCCTTCGGGGTGCATCACCTGAGTTTTTCGAGAAAAAAAACCATTTTGAAATACATAAAGCGACTCCACTTCTTTTTTACGTTAATTCCAAATATGTTATTCATTTTGAATTAAATCGTACTTTTTAATTCTAATTCTCTTATGTCATCGAGTTGACCTCTAAAAAAAAGTGCAAAAGATTAATATTATAGTTCTTCCTTCAAGCTGTCATAATTGATCAAAGCCTCATGCTGTTTTATTTCCTTTCTTGAGATATTAAAAACTAATAAAGAAAACTAATAATATAACTATATGATTCTAATGCTGATTTAGAGCAATATTTAACCTCTGTTGCAAAAGTCTTTAGACAAAATGTTCGTTCGTTTTCCGATCACTTAAAAGCAATTAGTGGGAGTCAAAAGCAGTTAGGAAGACTCAGAGTTTTGTGCTCTTTCCGAAAATGGACTCAGAAATTTTGTGTCTGTTTTTGTTCGAGAGTAGTGAGGACATCTTTGAAAGACCTAAAAAATTAGTTTGGACGGAAAATTTTTTCGTACATTTTCACTATTGGGATCCGAAACTAAAAGTTGAAATTTTTGTTGATAAATTAGCTTGTAGAGCAAAATTTACCCTACAAAACGCACTATTTGACTTTCTTTTTATCTTCCAATAAGGTACCTAAATTTTCGTTTTTCTGTATCACCCTCATTTTGGAAAATCGACTTTTTGACGAAAGCGCGTTTTACGTAGAAAGTAGTTCTTGAGAATATGCTTATAGGTTCAAGCTAGAGCTTAGTGCGATATCACGTTTTGTAAAGAAGTGTTCGCTCTACAAAATCACCGACTCCGACAATTTTTAGCACCTTCGCAAAGGGATTTATGGGAGTTAGCAAAAACCCTGTTTATTCGTCGTCCAAACCAATTTTTAGACCTTTCAAAGATTCCTTCACTTCTCCCAAACAAAAACAGACATCCAATTTCTGAGTGCATATTCGGAAAGAGCATAAGATTCTGGTAATAACCTATAGTTTTCCACTCGTCTAAAATACTTTCAAGCATGCCAAAAAAGAACAAACATTGTGTCCAGAAACTTCGGCACACCCGTTCCGTCCAAACTAATTTTTTAAGCCTTTCAAACATTTCCTCACTACTCTCGAACAAAAACAGACACAACATTTCTGAGTCCATATTCGGAAAGAGCACAAAATTCTGAGTCTTACTAACTGCTTTTGACTCGCACTAGTTGCTTTTAAGTGATCGGAAAACGAACGAACATTTTGTCTAAAGACTTTTGCAACAGAGGTTATTTCAGTACTCAACAACACTTCAAATTGAAGTTTTCATTAAAAATAACCTGTAGAATGAGTAATTGTTTGACACACTTTTTTTCGATTTGAAGTATCTTGCTGTGAAGTAAATCATACAGCTGACTCTTCTATGTATACACCTACGATTTAAAAGTACGAGTCCATGGTCCAAGAATTTTAGATCCAACAAGAGTTCTACCGCCCTCTTCGTTTGTCCTTGATTAAATTCAATTAATAATATCGTTTTGTTTTCTTTAGAAACATCATACGATGATATACCTCGTCCACCATCTGAACAATCTTATGCAAATTTTTTAAAATCATTTTCACAACGAATTTATTTTTCATATCGAAAACAATTTGAACCATTAATGGGTTCACGTAATGGAGATATAATTACATCAGATGGTGGTTGGGGTTGTATGATACGTTGTGCTCAAATGTTACTTGCTCAAACATTCCTTATACATATGACAAATACAATTAATTCACATTATTCAAATATTCAAGTATCAGATAAATGTATGATGATTTATATTTATAAAAAAAAAAATAAATAAATAAATAATAATTTTTCATCCACATTTTTTTATTATTGTGTTTTTTTTGTTTGTCAAGGTCCAAAACGAAATTCAATTGATTGTATTCGAAATGGTAATCGTATAAATCGTCTTTCAAAAGTTTATACTGATACTATTCGATTATTTGGTGATTTTCCAAATCCGAAATGTCCATTTGGAATTCATAAGTATAATATCTTTAATGTAAAATATTTAATGAAAATTTCTTTCTTTTTTTTGTTTTCAAATAGAATTGTTGAACTCGGTACATCACATGGTATTCGTCCGGGTGATTTTTTTGGACCAGTGAGTGCTGCTCATTGTTTAAAAGAAGCTATTCAAGCTGCTATCGAAGCAAAACAAATGCCTGAAATACTTCGTATTTATATTAGTCAAGATGCTATTGGTAAGATATTAATCATTGTCTTTGTTGTTGTTTTTTTTTTGTCTCATCTATCTTTGTTTTTTATAGTCTATCGACAAGATGTTAATGATTTATGTAGTGCACCATTATTAGATCATAATACTAATACAAATAAAAAAACTTCAATTTATCCATCATTAGATTCTGTAACAACAGAAAATAATTCTGCACGTTGGTCAACAGCTGTATTAATTCTTATACCAATAAGATTAGGTTTACATGAACTTGATTTAATTTATGAAGATTATTTAAAAGAAGCTCTTAAATTACCTCAAACAGTTGGAATTATTGGTGGTAGTCCACGTCATGCTGTTTATATAATTGGTTTGCAAGATGATAATTTTATTAATCTTGATCCACATTTTATTCAAACAACAGTTAATGTACTTGATGATACATTTGATACATCGGTATGAAAAAAATTTTTTTTTTTTGTTTAAAGAAGAATATTTTTCTTTTAGAGTTATTCATGTTCATCACCAAAAATATTAACTGCAAGAAAAATGGATCCAAATTGTACATTAGGATTCTATTGTCGAGATAAAGCTGATTTTGAAATGTTCAGTGCACAAGTAAATATTATTTTATTTTTTTGTTTAATGAATGATTAAGATAGAGAACATTAATAGATAGAATAATAATTTAACAAAGAAGTTCTCATAATAATCAATTTTCAATCATCATAAAAGAATTTAATACTCAACAGAATCTCACTTTCATGAATATACACAAGGCAATTCCAATGGAAAAAGATATGATGATAGAATTAATTACTTGCATGTCTAAATATTTAAATTTGAACAGTCTGAAAAAAAATTCAGTATTGCTTTCTTTTTATCAATGAAATCAAATTCTTTTTTATCTATTCATGATAAATCCACATTATTATTTCATGTTAATTTAAAAAGAAAGAAGATTATAATAAAAGATATAATTGTTCGTAATAATTACTCATGACTTAGAGGACGGTATTATAATATTTTGTTTCAAGTTTATATAATTATTATGTTAGTAAAAAAAGAAACACTTTTGATAAAGAAAATATTTGATAAGTTCAAAATCCTTCATTATCATAGTAACTTTCGAAGATTAATCAATGTATCAAAATTCTAAAATCTTTAAAGTTAAAATTCATATTATTATTATTATTATTATTATTTTATTTTTCTATTATTTAGTGGAATCATGTGTGTCATATGGCATCTGATGATCGACGTACATGTCCAATATTTCGAATAGAACGTGGAACATTTCAAGAAAGTCATACACGTGCATTAAATTGTGATTATCCATCATCATTAAATGATGATGAAGATGTTTTTCTTCGTGTAACTAAATTATCATCGGCAAATAGTTCACCATTACCATTAACAAAAAAAGTTACTAATAATGGAAAAAATTTTCTTATTAATCCATCAATGAATAATACTACATATCGTGATTCATGGGATGATGCTGGTCGATCATTGCATGATAATAGCAATGTACAATCACATTCTATTTCTGATGATTATGTTTTTCTATAATGAAGAATATTGAACTTCGTTTTTTTTTTTTCCCGAGAAATAAAAACCAAAATCTAGTCAACATTATTGTACAATGAGCCTTGTTGTTTTTCTTTTTTAATGTCCAAATTAAAAAAAAAATTTTTTGTTTGTGAGTGCATACGGCATGATATATTTACTTATTTATTTATTTATTTATAAAAAATGATTTGTGATTTGTATTTATAAATTTATTTTTGCTTTTAGATGATTTCAACAATAATTATTATTTTGTGAGTTTTTTTAAAGATAAGTTTTTTTTTTAATATTTAGAATTATTATTTAGTACTTTATTGATCAATGCAAGTGCTATAATTAATATTAAATTGTATGTCTTTTGATTTTGTTTGTTTGTTTGTTTTTTATCACATCTTATTATTGATAGAAAACGCAAAGAAGTTGGTTTCATAGTTGAAAATCCATCTGTTGGTAAGAAATGTAATTAAAAATTTTAAAGAGTGATATATTTGATATTGCAATATGATAAAATAAAGGCATATTATAAAAGTGTTTTTTGTTTTGCGCTAACCTTTTAGACAACTATTCGACAATTAGGTCTCGGATTGTCTTCTAAAAGTATTCCTCCTCATGAACAATTCAATTGTACATTAGATTAAATCAGATCATGGAAATCATTATTGAGATCGTGTTTCATGGAAGAATATTTATGCCTTGTTTTAAAACAATTGATATTTGAGTTTTGAAGGCAGAAAGAAGTTATATGAATTTAAATTTAACGAATATGATATTTTGTTAAAAATACATTAATATCTCATGCTTCATGTAATCTCGCATTTTTATAATGAAGATTGACATCTTAAAGACCGGTCTTTTATTATTTCTCTGCTGATATAGTTTGAAAATTTGTATTAGGCAACTATTGGTATGCTAACTTCCATCTACTAGATTATAATGGAATGAACTTGATGAAATTAAATTTTGTAAAAAAAAAAAATTGTCTGATCTCTTGTTTCGATGATATTGAATTGTCCATGAATTAGTTTACAACATTCCAACTTTGCAAAATTCTATTGTATTTTATCATTAGGATAATTCAAACTATGATTTATCACCAATGATAATGTAGAATACAAGATGAAAATCAGTCTGTCCAAATCTATTCAGTCAATAACGCCCTAATTATATATGAAATTATTTTCAAGCATTAAGAAATTGACAATGCACATTCATTGAACACAAAACTTGATAGAAGTTTAAACAGACAAGTATAATTGAACTAATAACTAACGAAATCTAATGTTCAATGAGAATAAATTTCAATTATTATTGAAATAACATGAAAAGTTTCTTCGATTACATCATTTGAAGAACAATCTAAATAGATTTTAAAAATTTTTTCGCATATAATCCTAAGTATATATGTAAGCATCATAATAGAAACATTCCATTGAAATTATAACTTTTAGAAAAGTCAAACGAACAATCTTTTGAAATGTTCTATATAATTTAATATATTTTATTATTTTTATATATTATAAATAATATTACTTCAAGGTTTTTTTTTTTTTGACCTATAAAGAGAATCTATATTTTGTATGAAAGCATAGTTGAAATAATAGTATCAAAGCAGAGAATTATTTATTCTATAACTAAAAGTGAAGCACTAAAAAAAAAAAAGAAGAAAAATTGTAGACGAAATTGTTTGTTTTCTTGTTTCTTTGATAAAGAAAAGTAAACAAAACATGAAATGATTTATTAATTAAGGTCTTCAGTTCATGTCACATATTTGTTTGCACTACTCATAAGTAATGATGGTATACCTACTGTAGATTATCGATTGGAGAACAACAATTTATATGTCACAGTAAGAATATCGACAATAAATCTTTTTTTGATCGTGACTTTTGTTTTTTATTATTGAAAATAGCATCTCGTGACTAACAATATAATTATTGTGTTCGAGTTTACAGGATGCTGAATGAATTCTTTTTTTCTATATTTTGATTGTATGTTGCTTGAAATTATGATTTTTAATTTGAATATAATGATTGTCAATATACGAAATGCTAATTATGATCATTTTCTTTTTTATTTATAGAAATAAGTATGAGTTTTTATGGTTTTATAATTTGAAACAAAAATGATGATTCTTTTTTAAGAAGAAGAAATTGAACTGACTGGAAGCCTTTTTATTCTTTTATTTTCATTGGTTTATTTTAGGTGATAAAGTACGTGAATTTCTTATAAGTCTTCAATATTTTCGAATATTTATTGGTCTTTGGAATATATTAATTATATTTGCTATGTTTACGTAAGTGTATATAATTAGTTCTCATTAATCTTTTTATGTCATTTATTTTTGTTTGCTTCCTTCAAGTATATTTAGTTATTAAATTAGTCTCCCGCAGATGATTGATGAAACAATGTTAAAATTGATATTAATATGTTTGTTTTTGTTTTTTTTTCTCTTGATAGATTAATTCTTTGTGGTACAGAGAACAAAATAATAGTCTTATTGATACATCTATGACATTTATTTTGTTCATATAACTGCAGTACTGTGATCTTCTTGTCTGTTATTCTATGAAATTAGTTTCTTTTCAACATCTAATTGCTACTGGTCTCCCGTCGGTATATATATATATATATTTATTTCTTCTTTTGATAATCACTTCTTTCTTTTTTTTCTTTTGTCACATATGGTTCATTCCCAATATAACATATAAATGGAAGTGTTCTGTTTTTTCATCATCTCTTTTCTTTCACATCTACAATAAAAGAAAAAACTATTCGTTCTTCTTTTCGTTTTTTTTTTTATGGATATATTTGCGACTTATACACATCTTCTCTTTCTTTTTTTTTTCGCTTGTGCCCTTATAATTGCACGACCTCGAAACATCGACGTTACCATTTGCAATATGTAAGAATAATATTAATGGCAGTAAACACATGCCTACAAAGATGATTGATATATATATATATATATATATACATACATCTACAAGCAAAATAATCTCATTGGTATATCATCTAATTTCAGATCGATTTAGTTCGATTATTTCAGATTGACTATCGAATGTATATCGATGTCACCACAAGCAGCACGACAGCAAATGGTAACAAAATCATCATATGAGTCAGATATTGAAGCACGAACAAGACTAAAATCTCATCATCGTCGTTATCAAAAATTATGCACAACAGAACGTCTTCCAGCATTGTTTACATGGGTTCTTTTATTAAGTACATCATTTACATATTGGTTATGTATTTTACCAGAAATTAAACATCTTTTACCATCATATTTACCAATTCTTATTTTACATTGTTTTTTATTTGTTCTTGTTTGTGGAAATTTTATTCTTGCAACATTTATGGATCCAGTAAATTTTATTTTTGTAATAACAAAAATAAACCGATTTTTTTTTCTTTTCATTTACTAGGGTGTTTATGAACAATCATTGAAAAATGAAATTTCAAATATAAGTTATTATGTTCGTCCATCAAAACGAAAAGGTGTCTTTGATACAGATGATGATGATGATGATACATATGAACCTCCAGCACGTATTGTTCATATTAAAGAAGGTAAAATTTATATATATATATTTTTTTTTCTTGAATATCAATATATTTAAAATTCTATTTTTAGGATCAATTAATATCAAATATTGTCGAACATGTAAATTTTTTCGACCACCACGATGTTCACATTGTTCAACTTGTGAACGATGTATTGATGTAAGATTAATCTTGAATTGTTTGAAACAAAAAAACAACAGAAAAAGAAAAGAGTCTATTAAAGAATTCTTATGTTTATTATTTTATGAGATTATGTTTCTTTTTTTATCGCAATAAAATATAAGATTGTTTGCAAATTTTACCAGAATAGAACATCGCAAAAAAAAAAAAGTTTAAAGTACATACTTCAAACAAATAGCTATATGTTGTTTTTCTTTCAAAAGTTTAAAATAGAAATCACTAAAAGATTAGGTTAACCAACTACGAAGAAATTTTATACTTTGACAGCGGGCATTAGGACTGTTATTTATAAGATTTCTAATTGAATTTATTTCTTGTTTTACTGGAAAAGTTTCCACTTACGAAAGAACCATTCGAACTGATACCTGCCATCTGATTTCATATTGAGCCTACCATAGAAGGCTCGGTAAAACGAGAAAAAACCCTAAAACGATTCGTCCTCGTGGACCTTTGGAACCAAGTTACGATCTTTTTACCAGGACTGCCAACTCTAGAGTACAATAAGGCACGGAGTCAACTAAATCTTTTGTTGAAAGTTCAGTTTTAACATATGAACTTTTTTGAATAGATTGATTCACTTTGAAGGTTCCAACGACGTCTCGTCAAAGTCTATGAACATGAAAGAAAATCGGAATTGAGTTTGACTTTCACTTTGTTTTGTACTCCAACGCCTCTATAAGTCATAGTTTGAACCTCTGAAGTGCATCAGTTTGTACAGCAAATATCATCGAATAAAATCTACTATTCAAATCAGTTCGTATGTTAAAGCTAAATTTTCGACTAGACTTTAGGGATATACACTGAAAAATCAAAAACTACAGAATTTCAACGTGAAATTTTACTCATAGATAATTCGAATGACCCGTAAAATGTCCTGAAAATTTTAGCTGAAAAGAATATTCTTTCGTTAAGATATCGAATTTCCAAAATTAATCATTTGCCTTAGGCATTAAACAAAAATCAATCTTACTTGGAAATTCGATACATCGACAAAAAAAAAACATCTTTTTCGGTTAAAACTTTCAGGTGATTCTATGAATCATTAGACTGTTCTATGTGAAAGATTTTACGTCGAAACTCTGCTTTTTGATTTTTCGGCATATACCTAAAATTGGACTGAGGTTTCATTAAAAACGATCCTAGCTCGGGTCCAAAGATCCATAAAGATAAATCCTTTTCGACTTTTTCTCTTCTCACTACGACATCATTGACAGGTCTAATATGAGCTCAAACAGCAGATATCAGTTCGAATGGTTCCCTTGTCAGTTTATCAAATGATTGTTTTTATTTTGAGACTAATCGATTGCAGTTTTACGACATAAAGAAAGAAAAAAAAATGAAATCCTCTTACAGTTTACGATATGTATGACTTCAAAATTATCTAAATATAAAATCACACAAAATAAAAATGTAATAGTTACCAAAAAAATTGTTCATATACTCTATTTGAATATCTGTTAGGAAATTGTTTATCCTTTTTTTGTAATTTGAGTTATATTCTAGACATTCGATCATCATTGTCCTTGGATAAATAATTGTGTTGGTATGTACATAAAAGAAAAGTAATTTTTTATATGTTTTTTTTTTTTTGTTTTATATTAAAATAGGTCGTCGTAATTATCGTTATTTTTTTCAATTTTTATTTTTACTCTGTATTCATATGATACTTCTATTTGGATTTTGTTTATATTATGTTCTACATGAACGTCATCATGAAATTATAACATCAACTCTTGTTTTTGATCCACATGATTCATTAGTACCTATTGATGAAAATGAAATATTAACATCACCTGATTTACCAAAAGCAAGATTTATTGGTTTTTCTGATTATCGTTTTATTATTTGTATTATTTTACTTGTATTAATCGGTCTTTTTTCAATACCAGTTGGTGGTTTAACAGGTTTTCATATATTTCTTATTGCAAAAGGTCGTACAACAAATGAACAAGTCACAGGAAAATATCATGAACAACATGATGCATTTAGTAAAGGTTGTTTGAAAAATTTTCTTTATCTTTTTTGTCAAACATTAAATCCACAATTAAAATCACCTAAAATAAAACGTTATAATATTGAAATATTTGAAAAAATGGCATATGAAAAGAATCGTTTATCAAATGGAAAGAAAAAATCAACCAAAAAAATTGAAACAAAAACAACATATGAAAAAATTAAAGACAATGATAGAAAACAACCAAAACGTAAAAAGAAAAAAATTGTTCATAATGATATTAGAGATAAAAATACAATATCTAATATTCATGTTAATCCATTAGATGAAAAAGGTAATCATTTTATTATTAATCATTCAATTCATTTTTTTTTTATGTTATTTAGTTTCGAAACCTAAAACAAGAACTAATAATAAACCAATTAAAATTCCTGTACAACAAGTAAGTTAATAATATACCGACAATTTTTATGATGAAAATTACGCTCACATGTGTTCTCCACAGTGCCCTGCATGTGTACAATTTTTCACAACTGAATTCAGGACGGTACTTTTTTTATATCCGAGTCCGAACAGTTGTTTACAGTACTCAACCGGAACTAACTGACATATGAAATTATACCTGGCATCTGAACCTATGCTCCGAGCTGAGTTGCAGGACACTAGCTGTCATGAAAATAGTCAAAATTCATCATAATGTATTTACCGTTTTTGATGAGCTCATATTGGTATCAAGTTTAGTTTATCAGAGATTCATGTCTACTTGATAGAGTCATAAGAGATAATAAAGCGAATGTAACATTAGAAGTAGATTATTCATGTGATGTAAACCGAATAAAAACTGCCGGTATACCGACAATCAACCAACGATAATTTGACACTTAAACGGTAGGCTGTTTTTTAACAGTTGCATGCCGATAGTTGTTCTCCGATTGACAATTTACTGCCGCTATATCGGCGGTAGTTCAAATCAATGTGCAACATGAGTATACAGCTCATTAATTATGTCCGTCTGACGGATAGTTAATTGATGTACAAAGCTAATCTAGAGTCCGAAGTCTTAAGAAGTTTTCTATTGTTCAATAGATACCACGAGAAAGAAAACTTATGGAAATAAATAATGAAAAGCTATATAGTAATTAAACAACACTCTTATGTTATTATTGTAGTGATTTGACGGCAGATTTTGACTAATTCAGAGCTTGATTTGAGTGTAATGGAATCAGCAAAAAAAAAAGAACAAGAATGTACCATGTTGAGAGTCCGCCAGGTCCGATAATTTTGTACGTGGGTTTGATTGGATCCGATCTGATTGATTTCATCTTTACCGAAATTTTATTATCTAATTTCAATAATTGAAATTTCTTTAAATCGAAAACCTGCTTTCTTTTTTCAAAGCCAACGTCATCAAGTTCGCCTTCATCTTCACCTTCATCATCTCCAATTCCATCAATAAAAAATCAACAACCAAAATCTAAAACAAATATACGTCATAGTTCATCTAATATGTCATTATCATCACGTTATTCATATGATAATATAAATGAGAATGAAGAATTTATATTTGATATACATGGTCAACGTCAACGACCATTACCTGTAACACCTATTGATTTACATTTAAATAATAATAAACAAACAACGAGAATGAATTCAATAAATAATGATATTCAAGGT